AGTCATGAATTTACTTAATCCATTTTGAACCTGCTGATACTGGTTATGCCTTTTAGCATTGCAGTACTTGGTCAATAAAGGCTTTGCTTTCAGCTTATCCATTACTATACTATGTGCTGCTATAAAAATTGATCTTGCCTTACTCAGCTGCCTTCACTCCGAATTGTAAAGTTTCTGAACTTTAAACTTTTATGTGAAGCAACTATTCTGAACCTGTGATCATTTTAGTTGCAGTTTTGTGCATTTGCTGTAACTGCCTGGAGTGCACGTTCCTTGAGGTGCAGAAACCAGGCTGAATGTGCATCATGCCCAACACATGGGCAAAGATCCATGTAGCTGCCCTCCTGGATGGGCAGGGAGTATCAGTGTGTGTTTGGGGCAGGAGGTGATTGCTTTTTTGGTTCTTTTTTTCTAATAATTAAAACATTCAGGCTGGCAGTACCAGCATTTTTTCCCCTATGTTACCCTGTATTTCTCTGAAGTTCTTTTGCCACCTTTTGCCTATTAGTCGAGTTTTGTGAGGTTCTTCTGGAATTCCTCAATATCAACAAGAAGTTTCCTACCCGAAGTAGTTTAGCCTTGCCAGTGAACAGAATTTGCAGTTCACTCCTCTTTCTCCTGCTTGCTGATGCAAGCATGTGAAATCAGTCCCAGTCATCAATCCTGCATTTTTTAATTTCTTTGCATCTGGAAGAGTTACCAGTAAGCACTACCTTCATCGTTCTATCTTTTAATCAACTTGAAGCTGTTGAACCTTTCCTCTAATCCTTAGGACAGCTTATTTTTTTTCGTTGTGAAAGGATGGAAGTTGACCTCAGTCTGTAGTTTCCAGGATCCCTTTGACAGCCTTTTTATAGAAGACAGTTTCATTGGCTGTATACAAGTCTTCTGCCACAACTGTCATTTAAAACTGTCAGGTTGCATATCTTGGCCAGTAGTTCTGCAGTTTCATGTGTAGTTCCGTCATAACTCTTAAGTGGGTGATACTTGATCTTGGTGACGTAAATTAACCTTCCTTTCCTGTACCTTGTTATATTTGTTAAGCTTTTTAAAATATATGGATGTATATATATGATTAGGAATTACACAGCTGTGACAGTTCTGTGAACTCAGTCATCAGTTTTCTGAGGTTTTGGATGTTATCATTGGACTTACGTGTCCATTTAATGAGAATGATTGATTGTTGTTCATTCATTGTCACAAACATTATGGTTCTATCCTTAAAACAAAACTCTTTGTTAGCGAATAAACTTTCTTTAAATGTATAAATTATTTGTATGAATATAGTGTGTATGTGTATAGTGTATGTATAATAAATTTGGAACAAGTGTTGTGTGTATATAAAACCTTAAGACCTAATTCGCTACGTGTTTTCCTTTCTCTAGGCGGGTAAGCACCAGGAATATGAACAGAAACTACTGCAAGAATTATACAAACTAAACCCCAACTTTCTCCAGTTATCTACGGGTACAGTTGACAAGAACAAAAACAAAGTGACAGCACTGCAGAGGTATGATGTGTAAGTACTGACGCGGGCTGCCTGGCAGTGCCTTCCTTCTGGTTAATCCTGCAAAAACAAGTTCTTCCTACTGCATCCCCAAACTCGCCTACGCTAGTCTAGTGCTCGTTATGTGATAAACCCAGATACCAGCTGTCTCTGTACAGGCGGTGAAATATGCACCACTTGGTTCTAATACTGACTCAGCGTGAGTCCTAATAAATAAATTCCTACTGTAAGCTTTGAATGTGCTAAGTCAGAATTGGGTGTTTTCATTCTGAAAAAGAAGGACCTTGTATTTCATAATTGTATAAATGTTGTAATATGTAAAATATAAATACCTTTTATGGTATGGTGGCTGTGACAAATGCACACTATGCAGTCACAACTGGGGCACATTACTATCTTGGCATTGTGTTTTTTGGTTGTGTTTTTATATCATGATTTCAAGTACATTCTTTAACTGTAAAGACCTTGGAAACTGGAAGTTAAAATAATCGGACTTTCTTTTTCCTGTTATGTGGTTAAGAATTCACAGGATGTTAATTGAAGACTTCCTGCCTTCGGTGTAGCTTCAGTGAAATGGTGTAGCTTTCATGGTGTATTTTAACTGCAGATTGTACTTCTCCTTTTCTATTGCAGTAGTCTTTTATCCAGTAGGTTTTGAAAAGTTTTCTGTCCACAGGAGTACAATAGTGCAAGGATAAATGAAAGCCTAAAGTGATTAGGCTTCTTGTGAATCATCTACTTAAATGTTAAATTTGAGATGAATAAATGAAAGCTGCTAATTGCTCTCCTTTTTATAGGATTTTTGTAATAAGAAGGGAAGGAAAGACTGTAGAAGTTCATTTTCACTTGTGCACATTGGCTTTGTGGTCAAGGTTTTTGTTATGGGCCAGTTTACTGAGTGCTCATTTTTGTCATTGGTATCACTGCACAGCTCCTTAGGAAGGAAGTGGATACTGTATCTAAACTATTGCTAAGGGAGCCTGAGGGTAGAAAATCCAACTCCTGGAAATGGAATCCAACTAGTGGACTGAGATTATCCTCCCTTGCTTTTACAGGAAGTGTCATATTTTTGACTGAAGTGGCCAGGACCTCCAGGTGGCCTTTTCTGAAGGACTGTCATATCTTGTTGTGTGTTGGGCACTGGTTCAATATTGACTTGGAAGGAAGAGAGCTCCACATAAAGCAAATACACCACTTAGTGCGTCGTTTGCATGTTGATTTATTTTATTTTTAAAGTCCAAACTAATCTTAATTTCAAACCTAATTAGATGCTAACAAAACAAATGATACCAGAGAGGAGGGAATGCATCTGAATCCATCTGAACCTGCAGCAAGCTTTTAAGCCTTAAGAAAGCAATTCTGAGTTGAAAATTGGGCAGTCTGTAGTGCCATCATTTGGCAGTTTTTGGACACGGGGGACAAATGGCCTTTTCTGTAAAGGCTGCAAATGGTTTGTAGCTGATTTAACTTGCTACCTCAACAGTGTCACTGCAGTGTCGAATCTGCTCTTCACTCAATGATGGGCATCATCTTTTGGGTAGCAAAGTCCCTTTCTTCTTACAGGTTGGGTTTTGAAACAATTCTTCAAGTCTTTCCCATCGGTACTGTGTGCAGCTGGAGACCTGATATGCGTGTCTGCCCCTGACGACTTCCTAACCAATTAATTTCTTTCTTTTGTCCAAGTCACTGATAAATCAGTTTACTGAAGCGCCTGGGATGGCTTTGTGGTCACTTGTGTTTCTGGTGTGGAGAGTTTCAGTTTTACTTTAGAATCTAGCAGAAGTTGAGTTGTAGATAAAAGGTGTCCCTTAATAAGATCCAGTAATTCAGAGAACGGTCTCTTAGACTTTGTATAAACGCTTTTTTTGCATTTCTAGCCTAACTTGAAAGGTTGTACTTACAGAACTTCTCTTTTGATGCTAAAGGCAAGTGTTGGAAAAAGAAAATCTAACTTATTTCAAATGTGGCAACATGAAGATGGCATCAGGAATTTAAGTCTTTCATTTCTGTACACATTATGTAGGTATGTGTACATCTGAGAGTAGATGGAGGCAAAATAACAGATCTTAAAATCCTAACTGAGATTTGGGGATATCCAGGTGTGTGGATGTTTTTCGTTCATTTTTTTTTTTCTTTCTTCTCCAGAATAGAAAACATTCTAATTGTTATAAGCAGCTACAGGAAATTTCCTGATTCTGACCGGTAAATTACAGAATTTACCTAGGGAGGGAGAATAAATGTGGGCCATGTAGTAAGTGTGTATGGTTTGTATATTTTTTTGAAAGTTTGTTCATTTTAAAGGCAGCACTTGAATACTGAAAAATACCAATTGAAGCAGATGAAAGTCTAAAATTAATAGAGAAAAATGGGAGAAATTAAGATTATCTTTTGTATTAAGATTGTAGGGCTAGTGGGTGACAGTAAACTTAAATACATTTAGTTATGGTTGTTA